AATCAAATCTATCTAGTCTCCTCTTTTTGCATGGCCAGTGAGCTAAGAATGATTTTTACATTTTTTTAACAAATAAAGTTTTATTGTACTTAAAAGTACAAAAAAACTTTCTCAGCTAGGGGGCTATACAGAAACAGATAATGGGCCCTTTGGCTCTCAGGTCTTAGTTTACCAACTCCTGCCATAAGAACCTATCCATTTTATGATCAGTAATGGCCATGACCAATTATGCACAGTCACGTAGGGACACACTATAGAGATGCATGGAAATAAAAACACTAAAGTAGGAGTTAGGAAACAGAGGTTCTAGTCCTAACTCAGGTATTAGTTACGTGTGAGAACGTGAGTAAATCCTTTTGCCTCTTGAAGCCTCAGTTTCCTCATCTGCAAAATGCAGGGAACATAGATTTAGAGTAGGAAGGATCCTCAGAGGACATTTAATCCAACTTTGTCATTTTAAAAATGAGGAAAGTGATATCAAGAGAAGTTAAATGACTTGTCTAAGGCAGAGGTTCTCAAACTTATTTGGCCTACCACCCCCTTTTAAAAATAATCACTCAGCACTGCCCTGAAAATCTATTTTCTTTAACCCCTTAATGATTTAAAAAAAATTGTGTCATTTCAAAAAAAATAAATTTTTTTTAATGATGCATTTTAAATTTAATCACTTATTATAAATTTGTGGGTTTTTTACTGCATTGAAATTTTGATGATGCAATATTGTATCATGTAGCTATATAGTGTCATACTGTAAACAAGCCATTACATGCACATACTCCTGCCCATGCATGCTGGACTTCCCAATGAAACCAACTTGCTTGCCTGCCAACACTTGCTTGGTAAGACCTGTTGGCAGACTTGACCACTGATATGTTATAACTTGCACTCTGCGTGTTTATTTGGAAAATAATGTAATCACTACAACTTTAACTGTTATACAACAGATGAAACATGTACCAACATTTGTTTTAAATTTTCTTATCTTTTCTTTCCTTATGCTTCCACCACCTCTTATTTTTATTCCATACCTCCCAATTGTACCTGAGGCTACTGTCCTCCTGGATCATTCCAGCACCCCCAGGGGGCAGTATCACCCACTTTGGAAACCTATGGAAGGTAACACAAGTAGCAACTGAGAGAGACAGGATTTGAACCACCATTCTCTGCCTCTAGACCCTGAGGTCTAGAGCCCACAGGAATTTTGGTAAAGAGTGCTGATACTGGCGTCATAGTCCTCAGGTTCAAACTGTACCATGCTGCTTCCCGAGAGCTTGGACTAGATGATGCCTAATGTCTCCTCCGGTCCTAACATTCTGTGGTATAATGATAGTTTCTGCGTGGAGGAAGAAGTACCTTTTCCACATGAGAACAAGAATTCTTTCTTTCATTCTTCTGATGCTTACTGGTCTCAAAGGTGCTCCATCAATAATCAAGCAACAAGGATTTATTGACAAAGCCTATTAGCATTGTACTGAGAGAACAGTTGATTTTTTTTAAGAGCTTTAAAAAGCTGGGTTCTGTCCTCAAGGAGAAAACTAGTTGTTGTTTTTTTTTTAAGGGGGGCGGGGAGGGGAAGCAAACACACTCGGAATAAATAAAGGGAAAAAAGACCTTATAGGATTAAGTTTCTAATTGTATGGTACACATGTTAAATGCTCTAGAAGGCTAAGTAAATATTCAGAATTCCTAGAGCAAGGGTTTTTAATCTGAGATCCATGGATCCCCAATGGGTCCATGTATAGATTTCAGGGGTTTGTGAATCTGAATGAAAAAAAAATTACATCTTTATTTTTACTAACTTCTAACTTCTCCAATGTGTCAATCATCATAAGGCTTAGAGCTAAAAGAGATCATAGGATTACTGATTTAGAGCTGGAAGGGCCTTAGAAGCTACTGAGTTCAGCCTCCTCAATGTACACAGATAAGGGAACTCTGGCACATAGGGGTTAAATAACTTGTCTAGGGTAACATAGCTCCTAAGTGTATTGTGTGAGTTGGAATTTGAACCCAAGTCTTTCTGACTTCAGTTCTAGGACCCGATCTACTACTAAGCTGTAGTGCCCTTCAGATGCTCTAATATTCTAGCCATGGCTTTTTGCTGTGTACCACTATCCCATAGTGCTGATGATGCTTCCCATCTGCTAGCTTTCCCCTTTAACACTGGCACTTTACTAGGAACTCTTCCTTTGTTTCAAAACATATTATGAAACATGTTTCTCTGCATTTATTCTATCCCTCTGCAAGGAGAACATTTTTTGGTCAGGAGAACTGACCAAATAGAAAATGGCTACTCTGCTGAATAGTCCTAGAAGTTCATGGTGCAGCTCAGTAGGGTTAATTTCCTGCTTTTTTGGGGGGGGGGGTGAAGCAATCAGGTTTAAGTGACTTGCCCAGGGTCGCACAGCTAGTAAGTGTCAAGTGTCAGAAGCCGGCTTTGAACTCTGGTCCTCTTGACTCCAGGGCCGGTGCTCTGTCCACTGCGTCACCTAGCTGCCCCAGCTAATTTCTATTGTTAACATCTTATCTTTCGATGTGGTTTCCTCAGTTAAGAGCTTTTCACTCACTCCCCATAAGCCCCATGCAGTGTTTATATACAACGCTGGGATCTCCTGAACACATTGCTCATAACTGAGACAAGTCCTCTCTCTTTTCTTTTTTCATCTCTATTTGCTTTCATGCCGTGTCACTGTGAATATATAGCCATAATTAGATCAAACAATCGTTTTCTTTCCAAACTTTACTTTCCATGTTTGGCATTAGGATCCAGAAGATTCATATACTGTATTTATATACAACAAAAGAAAAAGGAGCTTGGGGCCATGGGTGTGAAGCCACAGCAATAAAACCTCAGAGGACACCTAGTCCAATCCCATAATTTTACTGGCAAGAAAACTGAGGCCTAGCAAGGTGAAATGACTTCCCCAACAGGTTGTGTCAGAGGTGATATTTGAACCTGAGGACTATGACTCCAGTATCAGCACTCTTTAACACAATTCCTACATGCATGATTCTACATACAGTCATGTCTCCAAAGGCAAAGTTCATTAATGGAGATTAAGCCCTAGATATTTAGACGATGATATGCACTACTAAGTGTCTACCTAAGTCCTACCTACTCCTTGTGAGAATAAATTATAGACATCAAGAATCAAATGAAGACTGATCCCAAGTTTGACTCCATTCGCTCCCTGCTTGTTGTATTATTCATCCTTGACAATGATTCAATTAATTAAATGGCAAAATAAAAGAAAACAATAAAGGATTTGCAGGGGGGTAGGGTGTGTTGGTAAGTCATTCAAGTTGCAACTGGCTTAAAGAAAAAAGAAAGTGTAGTTTTAAGTACTTTTAACTGCATGTTGCTCTTATCTACCTATTGTATTAAAAATCTGAATATATCACGTTTTCTATCTTCAACAAAAGAAAAAAGAGAAAGAGAAAACTACAAGATTCTCAATAAACCCAACAAAATATCTTGATTCCAGTTAATATCTATCTGCCCTAGTGTTAGGGAAGTATGTCCTAGCTTAGCTGCATTTTTCTTATTACATTTATTTTCAGAAAACAAGATTTTATAAATATTTTTCAAACATTATTCGCTTTGACAAAAGTCTTCAATATGTTAGCATGGATACAATGAGGGAGATCCCTCCCAACTGTACAATTCTAGGATTCCATGATATACTCTTTTTCGTCTTTCTGCCCCAAATAAAAATGTGCAAATTACTGTGGGAGATAGTGTTTTGTGTGGTGTTATTAGCAGCTCTATCCTGTCATCTTTTCCAGTTCCCTGTGTTCCTTCCAGTTTCAGTGTCCTCATCATCCTTTCCAACTCCTTCCCTATCTTTTTTTTGTAACATCTCCACATCCTCAAGTTATTCTCTACCCCTGCTTTTTCCCCCTTCTACTTCCTAAGTCCAAAAAAGAAACAAGAAATTTTAAGTTGCAAACTATCCTAAGAGATAAGGGCAGGCAAAATAGTATTGAAACTTATTTATTTCTATCATTAACCCCCTTATTGGGCATAGGATATTAATTTTTCTTAGCTGGTTTATAAAAAAAAACATTTATAGTACTTGAGTAGATATAGATTTGGCTAGTATTGTCAACAGACTCAGTGACATTACGTATTTTAACCTCTTCTCCTCCTGTCTATTTTACAACAGAGTCAAGGCCACAAATGGATTTGGGGGCGAGTCAGCAGAAAATTCTTATTGGAGATTTGGAGAAAAGGCTAAGAATTGAGGTTATGATGAATTTCTAATCTCAGTAGGAAAAAAAGCAGAACACTAGGATTCACATTCCAGATTAACTTCCATCACACACATTTCTTTTTTTATGGCTACCAAAGAGCCTCCTCCTCCCCCAGAACATAGACGTACCTTTTCTCACTGGATGGTTTTGATGCTTGTCCTTTTAATCCACACAAGTTTGTAAGATCAGAGGGGGTACAATTTTGATCTAAGGGACTTGCCAGAAAATGAGACTGATCCATGCCTGCATTCTGTCCGTTTCCTTCATCCTCTCCCTTGGAGGAGAAGGAATTTAAACTATCCCACTCCCTCTCTGCAGCGCTATTTCACCTTCCTTCCTCTCCTGCCCTTTCTCCTTTGGGTGCCATAAACCTGTTGGCCCTTTGTACTGTCTGCAGCACCTGTCAACAGAGACTAGTCAGCCTGGACTCTTTCCTTGCCAGTTATAGCCAGCCTCCTCTTAACTCTTCCAATGCATTCTAGCTTTTAGTGGGGGGACGAGGGTGTAAAATTGAGAATTTCATTCATACCTAACTGTATCCAAAGTAGAACTATAGGGAAAACCAGAACTCAAGCATGATTCTACCCCCACTGCAAACCTCGTGGCTGGGTTCCGGGCATCACGAGCCAAGTACAGCCCTAATCGCGAAAATCACAATTACATTAGGGGAAAAACCCGGGATTTTCCAGTGACCTGCCAGAGTGGGGTTTAAAAGGGCGCCCTGGGGCAGCGACGCTTTCATTTCGGCTGAGGAGCAGTCGGAGAGCTGCGGCAGCCCGCCCCGCACGTCGGGCGCCAGTAAGAAAGTAAGGAGGCACGGGCGCAGGGGTCAGGACACTGGCTTGGTTCGGTGTTGGGGGTCTGGTGTGCGGGATTGGGTATTGGGGTAGGTGAGAGCGATAGGCTGCAAGCTGAGCTGGGGACTGGGCTGGAGGCTGACCCCGCTGAGGGGGCGCGGGCTTTCTCTGGGCAGGAGGAACAGGCTCCCGGAGGGCGCAGCTCCAGGCTGCCTCTTGCTGCCCGCCAGGAGAGGCGCGGCCCCAGGTGTGAGAGGCTGCACCTCATGTACGCCAGCCCGCCGGAGCCGCCGGCTGGGAAGGGGAGAGCCTGGGCTCTCAGAGTGCAAAGTGCGAGGTGCAGCTGCAAAAGAAAATCGGTGGTTGGGGGTGGGGACTGCGCCGAGCCGCCCGGCGCCCCACGGTGCAGAGAACGCAGTACCTGTCACGCTTACCATGGAACATGGTCTGCGTGCGCTGCAGGAGCCGGCTGCGGTCATGTTGGCGGCAGCAGAGTCTCATGGCCCATGGTGGCTGCCTGCCTCCGTCTCCGCCTCCTCCTCCGCCGAGGTTCACGGGAGTGTGCACTGGGCCAGATGGGCTCTACAGCTGACTCGTCTCACCCACGACGCGCCCGCCGCTTCATCCATCCCGGGGGGCGGTGCACGCCACCAGCGGGGCCTGGGCTTCGCTTGCTTTTTTCGTGACTTCCGTGTGCCCGGCCAGCGGTCTACTTTCAGTTTCTACTTTGGGGCTTGTTCTGAGGGAGCAAACTTCGGGTTCATCACTGGGACGCCTTCCTCCCGACCTGGTCCCTTCTCTCTTACACTCTCCTCTCTCTCCCTTACATCAGGAGTCTTACCCGCGTGGCCCGAGTGCTTCTGGCGACTTTCCAAGCAACTAACTGCAGGAGAAATTTTTGGCACTGGAAAGTGATAGCCCCGTCATGAATCAGAGCGATCCGGGTCAGTCTTCCCGGATGACCTCTATCACATTAACTAAATGCTGGGAGGCTCTGGACTTAGGGCATCTGTTTTTCCTGTGGCCAAGGAAACTATTTGTACAGCATGCGAGGGTGGAAACCCAAGTGGTAGAGACATCAACTTTACCAATCTGCTGCTGATGCTTTGGGAATTCCCAAGCTGTCCAGTAGAAAGGGAAGATTGAGTAGGATTGCGTGACTGAAACTGGTTACATTCTCTTCTCCACCCTTCAACTATATCAGTTTACATGCTGAGTTCTGTACATGTATCCACTAATAGCTCCAGTGTCTCAGAAGGACGTATACTTCATTCAGAACATATGGATATCTTTGATTCAAGAGTCAGTCCAAAATAAAATGAACAGAGACAGCTCTCTCAAATACAAATTTATCTTAATTAAATTTAATTGAATCACAGATTTTTATTATTTTTTTTTCTTTGAGTTTTGAAGCCTCTCGTGAGTAGGTATTGTTTTATTCCTTACATACCCAACACTTAGCACTGTCATAGGCTCGTAGTAGGCACTTTAATAGATGCTTGTTGATTGATGTGGGGCAGAAGGTCAGATTTCTAAATACTTAGTAACTGAGTGTGATTGTAGTGGAAAGACCACTGGATATGGAGTTCAGCTATATGTATTATAATTCTAGCTACTTATAAGTTGTGGGGTTCAGAAAAAAGCAACTGGCACTACACTGTCTCAGTTTCCTTATCTAGCAATTGAATTCAATGTATTTAGATGGAACTCAAGAGGCAAATTTGACTTCATAATTATCTCTACAACTTGGTGGCTTTGGAAGTATATGCTTTATTCAAAAGAAACCAGATAGGTAAAACTTTGGGGGAGGGGAGAGTAGTATTGTATATTAGGATTTTTTTTGTCAAGACATTGACAAAGCAAAGCTGAGTAGCATTTGAAATAAGATCAACAGGGGAAGGAAGAAAGTGATATTTTAGTGTTGATATGATGGATTATGCTGATAGTTTTCCTTATATTGAACCAGCCCTGCATTCCTGGTATGAATCCTACCTGGTCATAGTGTATTATTAGTGTGATAAGTTGCTGTAATCTATTTGGTAATGTTTTGTTTAAAATTTTTGCATCTATATTCATTAGAGAAATTGGTCTATAATTTTCTTTCTCTGTTTTGACTCTTCCTGGTTTAGGTATCAGCACCATGTTTGTATCATAAAAAGAATTTGGTAAGATTCCTTCTTTACCTATTTTACCAAATAGTTTATATAGTATTGGAATTAATTGTTCTTTAAATATTTGATAGAATTCGCATGTAAATCCATCTGGCCCTGGAGATTTTTTCCTAGGGAGTTTATCAATGACTTGTTCAATTTCTTTTTCTGAGATAGGGTTATTTAAGTATTTTACTTCCTCTTCTGTTAATCTGGGCAATTTATATTTTTGTAAATATGTATCCATTCCACTAATATTGTCAAATTTGTTGGCATATAGTTGGGCAAAATAATTACTAATTGTTGTTTTAATTTCCTCTTCCTTAGTGGTAACTTCACCCTTTCCATTCTTGATACTAGTAATTTGGTTTTTTTCTTTCTTTTTTTAAATTAGATTAACCAAAGGTTTATCTATTTTATTGGTTTTTTCATAAAACCATCTCTTAGTTTTATTTATTAGTTCAGTAGTTTTCTTAATTTCAATTTTCTTAATTTTTCCTTTGGTTTTCAATATTTCTAATTTGATGTTTAATTGAGGATTTTTAATTTGTTCTTTTTCTAGTTTTTTTTAGTTGTATGCCCAATTTGTTGATCTCCTCTTTTTCTGTTTTATTTATATAAGCATTTAGAGATATAAAACTTCCCCTAAAAACTGCTTTTGCTGCATCCCATAAGTTTTGGTATGTTGTCTCATTATTGTCATTCTCTCGAATGAAATTATTGATTGTTTCTATGATTTGTTGTTTGACCCAATCATTTTTTAGGATTAGATTATTTAGTTTCCAATTATTTTTTAGTCTATCTTTCCATGGCCCTTTATTACATCTAATTTTTATTGCATCATGATCTGAAAAGGATGCATTTAATATTTTTGCCTTTCTGCATTGGATTGTGAGGTTTTTATGCCCTAGTATATGGTCAATTTTTGTGTATGTGCCATGTGCTGCCGAGAAAAAAGTATATTCCTTTCTATCCCCATTCAGTTTTCTCCACAGGTATATCATACCTAACATTTCTAATGTTCTATTCACCTCCTTAAATTCTTTGTTGTTTATTTTGTGGTTAGATTTATCTAGTTCAGAGAGGGGGAGGTTGAGTTTCCCCACTAGTATAGTTTTGCTGTCTATTTCTTCCTGTAACTCCCTGAACTTCTCCTCTAAGAATTTGGATGCTATCCCATTTGGTGCACATATGTTTAGTAATGATATTACTTCAATGTCTATGGTGCCTTTTAGCAGGATGTGGTTTCCTTCCTTATCTCTTTTGATAAGATCTATTTTTGCTTTTGCTTTGTCTGAGATCAGGAGGGCTACCCCTGCTTTTTTTACTTCAGCTGAAGCATAATATATTTTGCTCCAGCCTTTTACCTTTACCCTGTATGTGTTACTCTTTTTCAAATGTGTTTCCTGTAAACAACATATTGTAGGATTATGGTTTTTAATCCAATCTGCTATACGTTTCCATTTTATGGGAGAGGTCATCCCATTCACATTTACAGTTATGATTACTATCTGTGTCTTTTTCTCCTTCCATCCCCCCCTCCATTTATACTTTTTTTTCTCCTTTCTCCCTCCCCACCCCACTAGTGTTTTGCTTTTGACCAGCACCTCCTTCCATACCACCTCCCTTCTATTATCCCTTTCCTTCTCCTTTACCCTTACTGCTTCTTCCCCCCTTCTATCCCCCCTCCCTTTTCTTTCCCCTTTCCCCTCCTACTACCTATAGTGCAAGTTAGATTTCTATAACTAACTGATTATGTTATTCCCTTCTTGAGCCAAATCTGATGAGAGTAAGGTTCAAAAAATGCTCATCCCCTTCCCTTCTTTACCTCTGCTCTAATAGGCTTTTGTGTCTTTTCCTGTAATATAATTTACCCTTGTCTGCTTCCTCCTTTCTCAGTACATTTTCTTAGCTCAGACTAATCCACTTACTTGGATCCATTTAACCCACTTGATTAAATTTTTTTTATCATTACATCAAAGTCAACTTATATCCACCCCCTTTACGTATACTCCTTTAACATGGTATAATAACAATACAGTTCTCAAGAGTTGCAAGTGTCATCTTCCCTTGTAGGGATGTAAACATTTTGCCCTTATTAACAACATATTGTATCTTTCTGTCCCATTTACCTTTTTATGTCTCTCTTGAATCTTGTACTTGAAGATCAAATTTTTTGTTGAGCTATGGTCTTTTTATCAGGAATGTTTGGAAGTCCCCTATTTTGTTGAATATCCATCTCCTTCCCTGAAAAATCATGCTCATTTTTGCTAGGTAGTTAATCCTTGGCTGCATTCCAAGCTCCTTTGCCTTATGGAATATCATGTTCCATGCCCTATGGTCTTTTAATGTAGAGGCTGCAAGGTCCTGTGTAATCCTGACTGTGGTTCCATGATATTTAAATTGTTTCTTTCTGGCTGCTTGCAGTAATTTCTCTTTCATCTGGTAATTTTGGAATTTAGCTATTATATACCTTGGCGTTTTCAATTTGGGATCTCTTTCAGGTGGGGAGTGGTGGATTCTTTCTATAGTTATTTTACTTTCAGGTTCTAGGACTTCAGGGCAGTTTTCCTTTATGATTTCCTAAAGGATATTGTCCAGGCTCTTTATTTCATGATGACTTTCAGGTAGGCCTATAATTTTTAAATTGTCTCTCCTGGATCCATTTTCCAGGTCAGCTGTTTTAACATGACGTATTTTACGTTTTCATCTATTTTTTCATTTTTTTGTTTCTGTTCGACTGATTCTTGTTCTCTCATAGGGTCATTAGTTTCCATTTGTTCAATTCTAATTTTTAACATGTTGTTTTCTTGTTAGATTTTGTACTTTCTTCTCCAATTGGTCAATTGTATTTTTAAGGGATTTGTTTTCTTCAGTGTACTTTTTTTCCAGTTGGTCAATTGTGTGTTTTAGGGACTTGTTTTCTTCAGTGTACTTTTTTTCCAATTGGCCAATTGTACTTTTAAAGGACTCCTCTACCTCTCTCATTTGACTCTTAAAAACCTTCTTGAGTTCTTCTAAGAAGGCTTTTTGAGCTTCAGATCAGTTCATATTCCCTTTTGATGTTGGAGATGTGGGTTTGATGACAGTGTTGTCCTCTTCAGAATTTCTGTCTTGATCTTCACTCCTCTTATAATATGAATCTATGATACGTTTCTTTTTACTCATGGTATTTCTTTATTCCCTTTCCTTTAAAGAGATTAAGCTCTACCTACTGGGGAGCAGAGGGCACTGACCCAAGCTTCTCGTGTTGGGAGCCTAGGTCTTGGTCACTGGCTTTGTGTGCTGGGGCCTCTTATGTTGGCAATTGGAGGCTGTAGGGTTCTGGCAGTTTATCTGGTCTTGGGCTGGAATCAGCAAGGCTGGGACTTTCAGGTAAATCTAGGTTGCCTGCTTTTCCTTTCCTTTAGCTTTGTTTAGCTCCTTTTAGATAAGTGCTGCCAGGTGTTTATCTGCCTGGGGCCCCTTGCAGTGCTGCCTCCCTTATTTCTGTTGAGGCACTGGGAAACTTCTTTGCTGTAGAATGCCGAGGCACCTGGTGGTTTTCTGAGCTGGTTTCCACCAGTTACCTCACCCTCACTGAGGCACTTGGAGGTACAGCTGCTGGCGTTTGGCTGCTCGACCACCTGAGCTTCGGGATCTCCTATTGGTTGGCAGTTGGAGACTGTAGGGTTCTGACAGCTTACCTGGTGTTGGGCAGGAATCAACAAGGCTGGAACTTTTGGGCACCTCTAGGTTGCTTTCTTCAGCTCCTTTCAGATGAATGCTGCCGGGTGCTTATCTGCCTGGGGCCCTTTGTAGTGCTGCTTCCCTTATTTTTGCTGAAGCACTGGGACACCAGTTTGCTGTAGAATGCCGAGGCATCAGAATCTCCTCCTGGTGCGCTAAAGTGGGTCTTTCCACTAGCTGGCTGGGCAACTCCTGTTTCGTACTGCTCCCCTTCCCCTAGGGTAAGAGGGTCCTTTCCTGTTAATTCCTCTAGCTACCTGGGCTACTTCACTGCTGCACCCTGTCTTTCTTCTGATTCAGCTGTTCCAGAGTTTTTTCTGGGGTGATATTTTCTGGGTTTTCAGAGGTTGATAGGGGAGGGTAAGAGCGACTACCTTTTTACTCTGCCATCTTGGCTCCCGGAATCGAAGTCAGGAAAGTGATATTTTAATGAGTATATTACAGTCTACCTGGACAGAAAGAGGAAAAAAATGAGGAATTTGAAAAAACAGATCCCAAGTCTGTCACAGAAGCATGACATAGTAGTGGGGGTTGAGGGGGAGAAAGGCTTCAATTACCTGGGCATAAACTCTAGCTCTTTCCCTGTCAGAAGCAGAATAGCTAATAATTTCTTGAGTTGTCTCAATGGTAATTTCATACTTCAAAAGGTGGAGGAACCAATCTGGGTAAATTTTGTTTTGGGATCTGATATATACTGAAAGAGAACCTGGTTGCTGGGATGGAAATTATGGGAACTTTGGGGGCATGGAACTGATAGAATTTGTGATACAGAAGGAGAAAAAAGCTGAGATGAGTTTGAGATTAATCCGATATTTTGGGAATACAGGTTTCAAATCCTTTCAGAAAAAGGATAGTGAACATGCCATTGACTCCAATTCTACAGAAGAAGTGAGGCTAGTAGGGATGAGATGCTAGCTAGAATGAACTCCTGAAAACAAAAAGAGAAGGACTTCAATGAATAGACAAAAGAGAAGTGATTAATGAGACTGATGTGAATGTGTCAGAAACTGACTAGCCAACTTGCTTTAAAATAAAGGGTATCTTGTTTTTATGTTACCTACATATCCAAATCCACAGATCCTTCTCCCTTCTCAGAATACCATCCCCTAGAACAAGGAATTAAAAAGGTGTGTGCTGGGGGGCGGGAAGGGATGAAGGGCAGTTCAACACAAGGAACCAAGATATCAAAAAACTCAAATATTATATGCAGTGTTCTTCACCATAGCTGACTTGCCTTAAAAAGACATGAAAATATGGAAGCAAGAGAATAAATACAGTAGAGTAGTATGATCCTGTAAAAATAGTATCTGGGGTCCCAAAGCTCAGAATGGGCCAAAGCTAGTAAGGAAAACTAAAAGTAACAAAGCAGTTTTTTTTTTTAAGCTATAGTTGGGAAAATAGGTTCAGAAAAGACTAGTACTGCTGTTGAAGGTAAATGGGACAATGACATTGGATGGCAGTGAAGGTGAAACTACTCAACTCATTTTCTTCAGTTTTCTCTATGAAGCAGAATGGAAAAGAAAGAAAAAATACTGTTAGTTGATTCCCAGGATAAGTAAGGAGAGAGTAAGAAACTGCTTAACTAGATTTCAATTTGCCTGGGTTACTGAGAGAACCAGCAGATATGATAGCTGAGCCACTGAAAGATCATAAAAAACTGAAGAAGTAAAAAAAAAAATGGAAAAGGGCAAGTTTTATCTCAGTTTTCAACATAAGAGAGAAAATAGAATCTTGCAAACTCTACAAAGGAAAATGATGCAGGTGAGTTTGACTTCAGTGCCTGGAAACATTCTAGAATGTGTATCATTAAAGCAATTGTTAGCAAGTTTGGAAAAGGGAGCAGTGATCAAAAAGGGCCTGCATTTCTCTGGCAAAAATATGTCACACCAGACTCCAATTTTTTTTTTAAAACAATGCTTAGAATGTAGCTGGCATTTAATAAATGTAGATTGATTGGTAGGATGCGGAAAAGGTATAGATGAGGGTTGGATAGTAGGATTAGGTAGATTTAGATTGATTGAGCAGACCTAGGGAGTAATCAATAATGGTTTGATGTCAGCTTAGCAGAATGTCTTCAGAGGAGTACCTCAGAGATCTCTGCTTGATCCTGTGCTACTTAATATTTTTTTAATCAATAACTTATATAAGGTCATAGATGGAATGTTTATTATATATACAGATGACACAAGGCTGGGAGGGATAGCTAACACATTGGATAACATTCAGGATGCAAAAATATTTTGACAAGTGAGAACATTAGGTCACTCTGGATAAGATGAAATTTAATAGAGATAAATAGAAATTAATAGAGATAAGATGAAATTTAATAGAGATAAATAGGTAAAAAGTTTTACACAGGTTTAAAAAGTAAATTTCTCAAGCATAAGATGAGGGAGTTGGGTTAGACAGCAATTTTGTCTGAAAAATATGCAGTTTTTAATGAACTTCATCTTGAGTCAACATCGTGTTAAAGCAACCAAGAAATCTGTGATCTTAAACTGTGTTTGGAGAAGTGGGGTAACCAGAACTGAGGAAGTGATGGTCTTCTCTGCCTTGGTCAGACCACATCTAGAATATTGCCTACAGTTCTGGCTACCAAATTTTAGGAAGGATATTGAGTAGGGAAGGAGCCTGAGGAGGGTGAAGAGTATGGTGAAGGATCTCAGGGTCATGTTGTATGAGGATATGATGAAGTTGCTGAGAATGTTCATTCTGGAGAAGAGAAGGAAGGGTATACATAATAACTGTCTTCACATTTGTGGAAGATGGATTAACCTTGATTATTTTGGCTCCAGGGGAGCAGAATCAAGAGTTGGAGCCAAAATTTGGCAGAGATCAATTTAGACTTGATGTCAGGAATCCCGAGCCCCCCACCCCCTCCCAATAACTTCCTAACAATTAGAACTATCTCCAGGTGAAATGAATGAATTGCCTCAGAATGTGGTAGATTCCTGGGTATTTATAAGCCTTCTGGATGACTTCATGTTGGATATGATGTAGAAGGGATTCTGGTTTGGGTCCAAGTTGGACTAACTGGATCATATTAAAGGCTGTTAAAAGGTCCCCTGAACTTATCTTTTTGAGTTGTCATATTTTCCAGAAACACTGGACCCAGAACATGGAGGAAGCCCTGAATGTGTCAAGGATGAAGCACCCTCCCACTCAGCTGACGTAAGTTGTTGTTTGCACCCCAAGCTGGGATTCCTTGTATGTCCTCGGGAGTCATGATAGGTGCCAGCAAGTCTGTGCCAGACTGGGAAAATGCTTGTGCAGCTGAGGTCCTTTGCAGATTTGAGGCCCCTTCTATCTTCATAGTCTAGTTATTCCTAAGGGAAAAGAATGAAGCTTTTGCCATCGCCTTGCTTCTCCCCTTCAGGAGGATTTTTTCCCCTTTTTCCCACCATTACTACACCTTCCCTCCCAATGCCACGCCTCTTCCTGTTTTCTCCTCCTCCTTTTGCTGTACTGTCATAAATCTGCAAACTTTTGTGAACTCTTTGGGTTCCACATGCATGTTTATTTCTCTTGTAATAAACCTTGTTTTCACATAAGTCTTGTGATGTGATTGCCTGTTGACAATAGTTAACGAAGTCTCTTTCAGCTCTGAAATTTAGTGATCTATAAGATTGGATGATCGAAACACTTTAGAATTCAAAGAAGGTGATTGGCTTATACTTGTGGGCAACACAAGGATGAAGAAATAGGTGTAGAAGGAGAGACAAGTAGAATTAATGTGGATGTTCCTTGGGGGATAAAAAGGCATCATAGTGAAGGGAATAATAAAATAATAAAAGTTAATTACATTCAGAAGATGGTATAGTAAAAATATATGGCACAAAATATTCCTCCTTAACCTGAGATGGACTCTCTCTTTATACATTATAAGGTCCATAGTGAGAGTGGTTCTAAAGCAAAGTAAAAGCTGCACATTTGTAGAGAACACATGTGGCAAAGGAGTACCTCCCACTCCTGGCCCTGGAAGTCCTTTGTCAGGGAGTGGCGTCTTTGCTAGACTGGTCATCTGATGTTGAGCCAGGCTCTTTTTCCACTGGGTTGGGCTACTCCACTGCTGCTGGTAATATTCCCTCCGATTTCTGGTTAGAAGAGAAGGAAAGGTGCCAGCAGTTTCCCTGTAAACTCTCCAGACTTTGTAACGCAAACAAGCTACCAAGAATGCTGCCTGTGCTCATCCAGCTCATGGTTGCTGTTTAGTCACCTCCTGAATTCTGTGCCTACTGCTGTTGGCTCTGTTGGACTCTGCTATTGAGTCTCTGGGCAATCCTAGCTTCCAGCTTTGAGGGAGAAGATGCGCCATTCCAAATTTTCTTCAAGTCTCAAAGGGAGGGGAAGACTCTGGGAAGAAGCCAACATGTAGAGGAGATAGAACTTGAATCATGCCCCTATTTCCAGCTTACTACACTAGAGACTTTGGGGAACCTTCCTTTGGGTGATATCTAAGAGTTTGAGTTGAATTGAGTTATCTTGTTCTCAATGGGAGAGCTCATTCACTCTTGGATAACTGAATTTATCTGCAACTTGCCATGCATGTTCATTGTGGAACTGGCATTTGGTGGGAAGATCGAGTCTTGGATATTTGGCTTGGGCCCTTCCTTTCCCATTAAGGGAAAGGAAGCAGATGTGTCTCTTGAACCTCAAAATTACTTCCCTTAGAGTAACCATATTTAAGGGAGCAGGTAGATATAATTCTAGTCTGGTATCCCCTCTCTCTGAGGAGAACTGAGTGGTCAGTTTCTGTACCCAACTTCTTGTGTTACCCTTGTCCCCCCTCCCTTGCAGGAATCAGAGTCTCCTTTAGGGGAGGGGAACACTAAACATGTCTCCCTGCAAGCCACATCTAGTGGGGTTTTTTTTTTGCTTTTTTGTTTTTTTTTTTGCCTGGCAATGGGGTGAAGTGACTTGCTCAGGATCACACAGGTAGTAAGTGTCAAGTATCTGAGGCCAGATTTGAACTCAGGTCTTCTTGAATCCAGGTTTGGATGCCCCATTTGCCTGTAGATTGTGGGGAATAGTTACTTTTTAAGAAGGTACTTTTTAGAAGAAAGAAGAAGTACAATAATAGCTTGATTCCCTAAGAAAATTTGCATTGGGCGTGGGAAATTGCCATCCTATAAAGTAGAGGTCATGAAAGCAAGCTTGCTAAGGATTCAATTGGACAGGATTTTGTAGCTTGACAGAATTATATAAATGAATCTCAAGATCTCTCTTCTTGTCCTGGAGCCCACATGAACTGCTACCACTTCTTTTTGTCATTCAATCTCTAGTATCCAGTTCTAGGAATAATTGGTCTCAGAGCTAGATTGCTGAAGCAGAAGCCTTTTATTTACTGTCAGGTCCCACCCTCAAAATGCAAATCACCTTCTCTGACCTGTTACCAGAAAATAATTACAAATCATTTGAAATTTCTGATGAAAACTGGTGTAAAATAAGTTGTCATTAGAATTATATCTGGCTCTTAGAGATCAACGATACAGGATTTTTATGAGAGGACTATATTTTCAGTTACATGGATATTACCTGCAACTTTTCTAGTTTTCTTGAGTTTAGTTTTTATAGGATCATCTGTAGTAGTTATTAACCTAAGGTTTGTGAACTTTTTATATCTGTATATTTATATGTGTATTCATATATCCTTTAAATTTTATATCTGTAGTTCTGTGTATCCATATCTATATATCTATATAATATATCTGCATATCAATATATCATAAATTTCATCAGTCATATATGTATATATAAACATGCATATATAATTATATGCATATTTTCATACATGTATGGCACACACATATATGTATATAATCCATGTATTATATCTATATATCATGTGCATGTATATATAAGGCACATGTACATGTATATCATGTGTGTCATGTATGTTTAGGGATGTTCTATATATCTATGTGGCACATCTAGAATATCAGTGTGTATACATGTAGAGTATATGTACCCTATGCATATATTTTATGTTGTATATATGTATAACACATAGCATTTATAGTGCTGTATTGACATGTGACATGTATATCTATAGATGAAGTTGCATTTTCATATGACTGTCTAATCCTATACCTTTTATTTTATTGTTTTAAAAAACAATATTTTGAGTAGTCCATAGGCTTTGCCAAACTGCCAAAAGAGGTCATGATAGATACACGAAGGCTAAGAACTCATGATATAGTCTAATCTTCTCATTTTGCATAAGAGAAAAGTGGACATTATTGGATTAGATGAGATGAAAACTTGGTCCTCTGTTGGGTAACCATCAGATGAAGAAAATTCTACAGACTTAACCAAGTTGGTCCCCTCACAGACCATATTCTCAGCCTTTCTAGCTTGGTAAGACCAACCAGAACTTGCGTACTGATGGCATAACCTCCAAGAATTGAAAGTAAGGATTATTGCGTTTTTTGCATTTCTGTCTTCAGTACCTAACAAAGGGCCTCCTACAAGGCAGGAATTTAATATCACGTTACCTCCCTGATATTCAGATGCATAAAAACAAGAAGGAGGACAGCAGTATGTCATGCTAGATGATTTGAAATTCTAAAGGGAATTTTTGGAGTAATAGAAAAAGATCAAGACTGGGATCATGGATATCCTTGATAAAAACTTGCTTGCTCAGAATTTAAAGTGAATCTTTGACCACAAATGTCTAAGGATTGAAAATTTTATAAATGGATTCAAAATATCGTGAAGTTTCAGAAACTAAAGAAATGGAGTTCTTACTATTACATACGCCAAAGCCTTTAGGAACCTATGTAGAAATCCTTGAAAGATTTAATTTAAAAATATTGTGTAAGCTCTGTAAATTATAATTGATAAAAATTTTGAACTCCAGCAAAGCTATCTCTATAGGTGTTTAGTGCAGTACTGTATTACAAAACTTAGAAGACAATGGCATTTTAGGGAAAGGGCTGTCACTAAATCAACAAGCATTTATTAAGTGCCTATTATGTGCTAGGTGCTAAAGATACAAGTGCAAAGACTGAAAAGAATCTCTATTCATACAGAGATTATATTCTAATAGGGGAGACAACAAGTAAAAATATATAAATAGCATAAAAGTAAGGTAAAGAAATACAAATATATGTGAAATAATTAAATACAGGGTAGTTTGGGATGTCAGTCAGTCAACAAACATATTTAGTACCTGTTATGTACCAGACACTGTGTTAAGCACTGACGATACAAAACGAGGCAAAAGTGATTCCCTGCCCTCAAGGGGCTCAAAGGGGAAGACAGCAGGCAAACAAATGTTATATACAGGATAAATAGGAAATAATTAAGAGAGGAAAGGAACTAGAATTAAGAGGGGTTGAGAAAGACTTCCTGTAGAAAATGGGATTTTAGTTGAGACTTAAAGGAAGCCAGGGAAGCCAGTGGCTGGAGATGAGGAGGGAGAACATCTCAGGCATGGGGAGATAGCTAGAGATGTCCTGAGCTGAGAGATGGAATGTCTTGTTCATGGAATAGCCAGTAGGCCAGTATCAATGGATTGAAGAGTATGATGAAGAGAGTAAACTTGTAAGAAGACTAGTGAGGTAGAAGGGGGCTAGGTTAAAAAGGGTTTTGAATACCAGGCAAGAGGATTTTGTATTTGATCCTAGATGCGATAAGGAGCCACTGGAGTTTCTTGAGATGGGGGCTGGGGAGGCAATCACAACTTCATGAAACTTACAAGAAAACTAGATTTATGACAAGAGAAATGAACATGCATGTGGAACCCAAAGAGTTCCCAATCCATATAGGTTTGCATTTTTATAACAGGAGGACAAAGGGAGGAGGAAATACCAGGAATCTCCACTTAAAAGAGCATGGCATGGGAGTAAAGGTGGGAAGAAAAACCCCTCTAGAAGGGAAGGAACAAGGCAATGGCAAAAACTACATTCTTTTCCCTTGGGAACTGCTAGACTATGAAGATAGGATGGGCTGCTTATCTACAAGGATTCCAGCTGCACAAGCAGTTTCTCAGCCTAGTACAGACTGACTGGTACCTGTCTTGACTCCCAAGGATGCAGGAAATCCAGCTTGGGATGCAAACAATGTATTATGTCAGCTCAGGGCAGGGCTTTGTCTTTGACCCATTCAGGGCCTCCTGCATACTCTAGGTCCAGTGTTTCTGGAAATATGGCAACTCAAAAAGACAAATTCAAGGGACTCTCTTAATATGTCTTAGCAGAGGTGGAAGTGATATGTTCAGACCTGGGCTTTAGGAAAATCACTTTGGTGGCTGAATGGAAGATTGATTATTTGTGTGGGGAGAGACTTGAGTCAGGCAGACCTATCAATAGGTGTGAGGTGATGGAGGACCTAAATCAGAGTGGCAGCAATGTCAGAGGAGAGAAAGAGGTGCATCCAAGACATATGGCAAAGGTAAAATTGGCCAGCCTTGGCAACAGATTGAAAGTGGGGGTGGGGGTGGGTTGAGAGATAGTAAAGAGTTGAGGATGACTCCTAGGTTGTGACCTTGAGTGATAGGAGGTTGGTGTTGCCCTCCACAGGAATACTGACGGTAGGAAGTAGGGAG